TTGCATACTTTTATGTATAACTGTGAAAAACTATATTGAGTCCATTAAATGCTTAGTTATTGCCTTAATATAAATTGACATCCCAGTTGAAGTCTTCTTCCAATTTAATATTTTGCAGTTGTTATATATAATCTAATCCGTTTTTACCACAGGTATAAAGGTTCATAAATCCATGGTTTTTGAAATAAAAGGGTATTTTTGGTCTCTAGGGTTTGCTTCTCAGAGTGCCCTTTAGGGTTTTCTTCCATCTTTTAACAAGTGAAACGATGTGAGCTATAGAGTTTTATGCTATTATTACACATTTCTGTTTCCAAGTTTTGAATGGACTTCATCGATTCATAAAAGCAATTCATATATTGCTACAAGAGAACAATAGAAAGAATATTATATATACATTAAAGAGAACAAATTCCTACCGTCTGATCCTATTTGTTTGGAAACATTTGAATGTGTAAAGGCTCCTAGACTAACTTTAGTGTCTACGAGCATCTCTCACCTGAGGATTTAAACATGCAGCCACACATTGCTGCCCCACCCCACATTCAGAATCAGTGGTCTGGGCTGGGAAATGGGGATTTGCACTTTATTTATTTTTCTCAAGCATATTTTCCCCATTTATTTATTTATTTTTATTATTAGTTTCAGGTTACAAACCAACATAGTGATTAGATATTTACATACCTCAAAAAGTGATAACCCCAACAAGTCTACTACCCATCTGACACCTTACATAGCTACTATAATACCATCGACTATACATTAATACCTCGGTTTGCGAGCATAATTCACAATATGAACTACTCATATTGCAAGACATCACTCATTTACCAAGTTAAAATGTATTATTAGGTCGATGCAAAAGTAATATTGGTTTTTGCCATTATGAGTAGTGGCAAAAACCACTATTACTTTTGCTCCAACCTAACAGAAATGTTTGTTCATCTTGCGGAACACTTGCAAACCAAGTTATTCGCAATATAAGGTTTTACTGTATTTCCTAGACTATACTTTACATCCCGTGACTAAATATTTTAAAAATTATAGTTGACATTCAATATTATTTAATATTAGCTTTAGGTGTACAGTGTAGTGGTTAGGCATTTATATAATTTGTGAAGTGATCCCTCTGATAAGTCTAGTACCCATCTTACACTACAGTTTTTATAAAACTATATTCCCCATACTGTATTTCATTTCCCTGTGACTATTTTGTAATTACCAATTTGTACTTCTTAATCCTTTCACCTTTCTCACTCATCCCATCAAACCCCCTCCCATCTAGAAACCATCAGTTTGTTCTCTGTATCTATGATTCTGTTTGTTTATTCTGTTCTTTAGATTTCACACATAAGTGAGATCATATGGTATTTGCCTTTCTCAGTCTGACTTATTTCATTTAGCATAATACCCTAGGTCTATCCATGTTGTTGCAAATGGTAAGATTTCATTCTTTTATTAATATATGGCAGAATAATAATCTATTGTATATATGTAGCACAATTTCTTTATCCAATTGTGTAGTGATGGACATTTAGGTTGTTTCCATATCTTGGCTATTGTAAATAGTGCTGTATTGTGTGT